TAGTAATGCAAAAGAAATTTTAGACAGTGTCACAAATCTCTATCGACAAGAAGGATGGGTTACCTTGTTATGGGATGCCCTATGTAACTTGCGAGAATGCTCAAGGAAATGTGGAATAGTGAAAGATTTTGTAGAATACTCACTTGAAATGGCTGCATTACCAAATTCAAGTCTTTCACAAAGAGAGACTATACACAAGGAAGTCTTTGCAGTTGTCAGAGGGGATGAATCTGGGAGTGGAGAGAATGATAGCCTGAGAGTACATGCTGATAAGCCTCTTTATATTGAGATTGATCTTATCAGCCCTCTCAGAGCAGTACTTCTCGCATCAGTTGCTTTTCATGAACAAATGATTAAGCCTGGTGCGCCAACAATGATTACTTTGTCTCTTCTGTCACAGTTGCCCCTTAATGTTGAGATTGATCAGTTGGAAATTCAATTTAATCAGTCCGAGTGTAATTTTATCATCGTAAACGGTCAAAGGTCCCATTTAGCTGCAATTTCTTGCGTGCAGCCTGGTCGGCGAGTTGAAACAGCACCTACCTTGGAACTCATTACAAACAAATGGATACGGCTTACATATGAGATAAAATCTGGTGAGTTGGTTGCATTTGTTGGCATTTTGAATCTACAATTCCAAGTACATTGTCTATAATGTTGGCCCCCTTTTATCTTCTTAGGTAAGGTAATGTTGTACCTAGGTGCATGTGATCTTTAAACATGGGTTTAAACATGGGGGTGTGACTGAGTAGCAATAACTACATAAAAGTTAGCAGATGATGAGATGAAGCATTTATGATCAGAAATTTTACCTGTTCAGTCATTACCGCATGCATCATATGTTCATACGTAGCGTTTAAAACAAGGATAAGAATAAAACTAAACCTCTTGATAACAGAGAGATGCTCTTATGCCTGGTGCAGCTAGAAACTTTACTGTTATATTGCAGTTGAACTTTTCAGCTCAAATCAAAACCTAGAGTTGTAGTGCTTGCTTATATATGGGATAAATCTTAAGAACTCTTTTTGAAACAATAGCCTCATGTTGAAGTATTCAGATAACCCTTTTCCTAGTAAGTCTAGATAATTGAATGACACATTAAAACACAAACGCTACAGCCTAGCCAAACAGACCAGACACCGTATGGTTATTCCAACTTGTGTTTAATAGTTTTACAGAAATATAGACTTGTGGACATAAAATTTATCTTTGCAAGAACTTACAGAGTATTTATTTCTCTTCTCCTGCCCTAGTCATTTTTTCTTGTTAAGTTTGCTGCTTTTACAATAGAAATTATAAGCTTTGTGTCTTGCCCTTCTTTAAAACAATGATAGCAAGATGAAGAGTAGTAATAACAACAATAATCAAAATAATCATGATGGTGATGATGAGCATCATAAGCTGACTTTTGAAAACCATACACAGAGCTAAGCGGAAAACTGGAATGCATATATGTGATTGCTAGAATGGGGCTGTCTTTCTCAATCTCATGCAGAGCCGAAAGTCCTGCGTCAATGAATGACTTGCCACTCTGGAAGTATGAAAACAGAGTGGAAAGCATACCAACCAAAGATCCGAGTTTGGCATTTTCCGGTCAGAAAGCTGTCCAGGTAGAAGAACCAGACCCACGAGTAGATCTAAGCTTGGCATCCTCTTGCCTAGCTTTGGTTGGTGAGATATTTACTGTTCCCGTGATTATTACTTCCAAGGGACATGCAGTCCATTCAGGTGAACTGAAGATTAATCTGGTGGACACAAGAGGTGGCGGCTTGCTTAGTCCCAGGGAGGCAGAGTCATTCTCAATAGATAATCTCCATGTGGAGCTTGTTTCCATTTCTAGACAATATCATGAAGATAAATCCATAGCTAGTTCTGAGAACATTCAGAAAATCCAACCCTCGTTTGGATTGATCCCTGTTCCCTTTTTAAACGAAGGAGACTCGTGGTCTTGTGAATTGGAGATTAGATGGAACCGCCCTAAACCCATCATGCTTTATGTGTCATTGGGTTACTATCCCCTTGGCACTGAAAAGAGCCCACAGAAAGTCAATGTTCATAAAAGCTTGCAGATTGAAGGGAAAACTGGTATTGTGATGAGCCATCAGTTTATGTTGCCTTTCCTGCGGGACCCTTTACTCCTATCTAAGATCAAGCCACCATCAGCTTCTGATCCCGAAGATCAAACATCACCTTCTCTTCCTTCAAACGAGACCAGTTTCCTCATTGTCACAGCCAAGAACACCACAGAGGTGCCTTTGCTCTTAGAATCAATGTCTATCGATGCAAGCAACGACGACGCCACAATGGGGCCCACACGTCTTGTTGCCGGAGAAGAGTTCAAGAAAGTGTTCCCGGTCACTCCTAAAGGAACTCTCTCTGTGTTGAAGATGGGAGCAGTGGAGTTGAGATGGAGAAGGGATTCTGCTGAGAGTAGCAATAGTTCCTCTGATCAGGTTTTGACCAAACACAGCCTTCCAGATGTGAAAATCGAGTCTCCTCCTCTGGTTCTGAGCTTAAACACCCCTCCTCATGCGGTACTCGGGGATGCATTCACCTACGCCATCAAAATCAGCAACAGAACGCCGCTGCTCCAGGAGATCAGGTACTCTTTGGCGGATTCCCAGAGTTTCGTTCTGTCCGGGTCCCACAATGACACCATATTTGTTCTGCCGAAATCCGATCACATTCTCATTTACAAAGTTGTACCCCTTGCCTCTGGCTTTCAGCAGCTTCCTCGGGTCACTGTGACCGCCGCGAGATACACCGCGGGCTTTCAGCCTTCTGCCACAGCCGCCACTGTTTTTGTGTTCCCTACGAAGCCTCAGTTCAAGCATGCGGCGGAGACAGGGAATGGGTCATCTTCTGTCCCAGCTGAACAGAAATAGAACAATTTTTGCCCTTTTGTATACAAATTGCACCGGCGGATAAAGAGTTGAATGATTGTGTACTTGTCACATCTTTATTGATTGATTTCAATGAGAATCTTATAATGCGGTGTACGTTTAGATTAAACGTCCTTAAAATTCAGCATGATTTATTAAAAATTATTCTGAACTCTATTCTTAATTGAAAAGAATTGATTGACATTAATCAGGATATCTTGTGTGTGTATTTGTTATTTTAATTTTATGATAATTGAAGATGACAAAATAAAATCTTTTTTTAATCATACTAGTATTTTAACTTGTACCGTGCACGAAATGAAATGAATTTTTTTCTTTAGTTTTATGATTTTTCTTTGCTACAAATTTTGTCAAAAAATGATCAAATTAAAATATCAACCTTAAAAGTTAAAATAATGATAAACATGTTAAGTATATGGCAAATTTTTTCATCGTTCTTAGGTCCATATTTATTATTATATGAATCTTGAGACAAGGAATGACTAAATGTATTAGACTTTATAAAATGAAAGAGATCCAACTGCGAGTCTATAAAAATAAGCCAGAAAGTCAACATTTAAATGTGGATCCTAAGACCATGATAGCAGAATTCTGAGTAGACAACACTCTTTGTGATGTAATAAAAAGTACCAAACGCTTTTAAAATTAATACTTTCAACCCTATATTTACTTTTACTTGCAGAACAACAATATAAAATTAATCGTGACTCAATACTGACTTTGTAAAAAATAAACCTACAAATGACACTGTTTGATTTTGACTTTTATTTATAGTCATAATGATACCTAAATTATTCGGTATGAAATGATACATAATTCATTTATGGAGGTGTAAACCTTCCCTTTGAATTTGTTTTGTAATACGAAGTACTATAATTGTGCTAATGATTTTTTTGTAACTTTTTAATGATTAACTTTATACTATTATACAATTCACATGTTTTATCATTGTTTATCACTAACATGATGCTACAACTTTCTTCAAAATTATTTTTTTGTTTTAGATTTCCGAACATTTGATTCCAATCATTCTCTCAATTGTTACCCAAGCGCCATTGATGAAAAAAAGTTTATTGCACCATGACCCCTGTAATTTGGTAAATGTGCACAGTTACCCCTACGGTTTCAAAACTTACGTTATTGCCATCATGGTTCTGATATTGCTACGTCAATGCCCCTCTAATTAAAATATCCTTCAAATATTATATGAATAGCTCCACTGCCCTATATGGTTTTGGAAATTGGCACAAACGTCCCTATTTTCTTTATTATTTTTATTTTTTCTATAATTTTTTTCATAAATTTTTTTAAATTTTTTTATAATGTTTTAATAATCAATTTTTTTGTGTTTTCAATAAAAATCAATTAAATAACAAGAATTAACAAACACTTCTTTTGTCCCAAATTAAACATTTTTATTTTTGTCCAAAAGAGGTCTTTATTGGTTCATTTTCATTATACGGAAATCAATGAAATATTTTCTTTATTCACTAAAGGTCATTTCTCATTTTTTGTTCATTAATTTTATACTGTTTCTTTTATTATAATCAAAACTAAAATAAAAGAAAAAAGAATAGAAAAGAAAATAAAGAAAAAGAAAAGTATATGAAAAAAAATACTTTTATAGAATAGGAAAAATTAAGTCATGAAGAAAATCTTTTGCGCATTGGTCCAAAAAATGTTATTAATATATAATTAACTATATACTAAAAAGACCTTACTTTGTATTCTTTGGGTCCCGACATATTCAAAAAGATATAAAAAATTTAGACAAAAATGAAAATATTTAGTTTAACAAATGAAGTATATGTTGAATTTTTTATTTCAAACACAAATATTTTTTTATTTCTTTAAACTTTTTTTAAAATGTAGGTTTGAAAAAATATATTTCATTATTTCACACACAAAAAATTTTCTTCTCTTTATGAAAAAAGAATATAAAAAAGAAAAGCAATAAAGAAAAAGGAGAGGGACCGTTGGCGACCCTTTCAAAAATGATAGAGGGCAACGAAATTATTCACCTAATATTTGAAGGATATTTTTGTCAAAAGAGGCATTGGTGTAGCAATATCAAAACCATGAGGGGCAACGGCATGAGTTTTGAAACCATGGGGGTAACGATGCACATTTACCAAACCACCAAGGGTGTTGGTACAATAAACTCAAGAAAAAATGATTCTTCCCCTCACATTTGTTTGGGTTAGCAAAAAAAACTTATTTATCTCTCCCGCATTAATATGATTCTCCTACCACGTATTGTTTTAAAAATATAGTTTTGTTTTTTCCCATATTAATTCAAAAATAACAATAATAATAAGGAAAAAATATTAGTGATCCTATGATTATTCTCTTCTGCATTAATTAAAAAAGCTTCATTACGACCCTAAAATTAAAAGGCTGAATTAGTGGTCCTATGATTCAAATAAATTAATTTTAAAAAAACATTTAAAATCCAATGATTCCTCTCTCCTGCATTAATTAAAAAAATTAAAACAAAAAAACATAGTGATCTTGTGATTTTGAATAGAAATTGACAAAAAAATATTTGATAGTTTTTTCTTCAATTCTTTCAGATTTCTATTTATATATGAAATCATTCAAGCCTCTGAAAGTATTGTTGTTTAAAAAAAATTATTTGATTTAAACATTTGATCATTTTAAAAAATACTCCAGTCGTTTCTTGTTTTATAGTAGTTTAATATAGAGATTAAATTACTCCATCCGTTCCTAAATAGATTACAATTTTTTTTCTCTCTTCTCGATAACTTTTGTTTGTTTACGCGATTTCATTAAGTACGGAGTATTTGATAAAATAAAATATTTTTGTCACCTCTTGTTTTGTAGAACTTTTGACGTAGTTTTTAATATGTAATTTTTATATCTTATTGATATACCAATTTGTAAATAAAATAATTTCAAAAAGTAGGAAATTTTACTCCGTAACTCGCAATTTGTAATCAAATTGGCGACGGAGGGAGTATTTTTTTTATTTTACATCAATACTTAAATAAATAAAATAAAAACTAACTTCTTTTAAGCATGTCATGAATAAATATAAAAATTTTTAGAGGTTAAGAAAATATCTTTTTTAGGGAAGAGAATCTTATTTTTTCATTGATAATTTTATTATTAATGAGGTGAAAAAATATAAAGTTAGAAAAATGTATTTAAAAAGCGATGATCTCTATTCTATAATTAAATTAACTCAATAATAATGAAACTCTAAAGAATGTTAGTGTAACGATAACATGTCATGATGATACATTTTTTTATCAACTATATTCTAGAATTTATTAAAATATCTTATCATAATAGATAATTAAAAATATTATATTTTTAATTTTAAATCATAAATCATCTAAGTAAATCATAAAGTGTCTAGTAATAAAATCAAATCAATCATAAAATCAATATTTTTGAACTACGAAATTGTGTGTACTATATTTTTCTTTTTTAACACAATTATAGTCAAATCATCTTTTGTTTTTAAACCTTCTTTTTTTATTAAAAAAAAATCATATTTTCGGCCTTATGTAATTGTCACATGGTAGGATTCCACTTTGGGACTTTACTATTTTAGCCAAGTAAAATACTCCATATGTAGCTTGATTGGGAGTATTATTTTATTTCCTAAACCAAACAGGATTCTACTATTAGGTAATTAATTACCTTTTTTGGGGTGAAGATCCATTATATATAGTAGCTAAAATCTTTCTCTCCATATATGATTGGTAGCCCTAGCCGAAAATACACAAAATAAGGAAGACAAAAATTTATTTTGAATTATATATTGTCATTCACATATTTTGTATTTTAATATATTCAAGACTCCGTCACTTTGTTCGGGAGCACGCACCAGAGGTCAAAAATCAAATCCGTTTGTGGCTACGTGATTGTTAAGGTATACTCATTATTTTTAAAACAACTAACAACTTACGTAAGTAAATTTGGATGGAAACGATGTTTGGCGATTTATTTTTATTTTCTATATTACGCCATCCAATCATGATTTTATTATTTTCTATTATTCTAATTCACATATTTAGTATTTTATTATAGTCCAAATTTCATTAAATTTATTTTTGATTTTGCGACTTTATTCGTGTAAACGCATGAAAGGTCACATTTGTTTGCATCAATAACTAAGAACTTACGCAAATGGATATTTGGACATCAATTTTTTTTTTGTCGTGAAAGATATATATGGGCGTTCTGGAGAGTGTGTAAGGCGTCTACCCGTACATGGCCACTAGACTTTTAAGGTCCCATATTGTTAAATGTTGATTATTCTAATTATTTGATATTTTTAAATTTAATATAAATTTATATTTTAAAATTAAAATTCTTATAAAAGTAGTTATATTGCAAATCATAATCGGCACTAAATTTAAAACACAAGTACTTTGAAAAAAATAAAATAGCGCCCAACCCGTGAGTCAATCTCTTTTTTTTCATATTTTTGCGGGCCGGCCTTGTGGAAAAGTATACTATTACTATACGTTCATGTTCTTTTCAATTTTGATTACTTTTAACCCTAGTTGGTTAATACATGTATAATACGCGTATTATACTTAATCAATTTGAAAAAATATATACTATCTGCATTTTACAAAAAAATTACACTTTTTTTGTCAAGTTCAAAAGAAGACTTCACTCTTTCCTTTTTTTCTGTCTCAAAAAATTCATTTTCCTCTTTAGAAAGAATGAGTGACTCACAACTCTCATTTATTTTTTCTAAATATATTCAATCTATAAAGTTTTTATTTTTAACATTTTTTAAACTACACACGTGAAAGTCAAATAATGATATTTTTCCTAATGGAGGGAGTATATATATTTTTTCAAAGAAATATTTTAAATAAATAGAGATTCTAATTTGAAAAGATCTATTGTTAATAATCTTAATTTCATTTAAAAGATGTTTATTTTTTATTTATTTACCCTAATATAAATTGATCTGATGACTATCAATTAATAAATATGTGTAAATTTGACGTATATATGATAATATATATAAACATATAATAAGATGTATTTTAAAAATAGAAAACCTTTTAAACACTTACTTAACCGTACCCGTATGATGAACATTTAACTTACTTAACCGTACCTGTATGACGAACGTACGTATTGACGTATTATACGTCAGCCATATGTTACTAACTATGCTTTTAACTTCCTTCATTCAACATTTTATAGTTTTTTCAAATCCTTTCTTTTTTTCTTTCCAATCTCTTCTGATTTTTTTTCGAGTTCTTTCCATTTTGTTCAAACTCTTTCAAATATTTTTCCAACTCTTTCCACTTTTTAAAATCTTTCCAATTGTGGCTTAGAGATTATTTATGTGCTTATTTTATATTGTTCTCATTTAAATAATAATAATAATAATATTTTTATTAATAGTATTAGCATTACTCCCTCCGTTCCTAAAAGATTAGCACAGTTTGACTTTTTTGGTCAAACTTTGACAATCTTTGACCGTGAATTATGGAATAAGTATATTTAGTTATGATGTAAATTTAGTAAATTTGTGTTTAATTTAAAATATACTTTTGAAATATCAATTTTCTATAATATTTAATTATTTTAAATTATATTTGATTTGTTCTCAAAGGGTGCCACAGTTTGACCAAAAAAGTCAAATTGTGGCAATGTTTTAGGGACGGAGGGAATATTATTATTATTGTTATTATTAGTACTAGTTTTAGTACTTTTATTATTATTATTATTATTATTATTATTATTATTATCATCATCATCATCATCATCATCATCATCATCACCATCATTATTATTATTATTAATATTATTATTAATATTATTATTATTAATATTAATATTAATATTATTATTATTATTAATATTAATAATATTATTATTATTAATATTATTATTATTATTATTAATATTATTATTATTATTAGAGAAATTTACCTAAATAGGACTAAAACATAATGACTTTCCCAATATAGGACCATATGTTTTTATTTCCCAATGTAGGACCTCTGGTCATTATCGAGTAGTCATTATTCAACTAAATGTCCATCATCAGTGGACATTATTCTTTCCACTAGGTCATTATTAAGTCCTATTTAGGGAATAAAAAAGTTTAAGTCCTACATTAGGAAAGTCATTATGTTTTAGTCCTATTTAGTGCAAATTTCACTTATTATTATTATTATTATTATTATTATTATCTCAATGGTTATTTTACCTTGGAAATCAGGGTCATATAATGACCCGGGGCACCATAGGTGTTTTGTTTGTAAAATTGAAGATTGTTATCCTCTCTAACCCCTATAAAATTCTCTCATGCACCCTTAGTTTTACCAATAGATCACCATAGGTGCGCGTGTCATGATATGACCTTCAGCTCATGGTTCAAAATATCATTACCGTAATATTATAATTACTATTATTAAAGTAAGTATACAAAACGAGCGTAATGTAACGAGGGCCGGCCTCAAAAAATGAAAAAATGAAATTGGCCTAGTCCGAGATTTACATTTTGAGTCCTATTTTATTATTTTAAAATACTTGTGCTTCAAAATTAATAATGAATTTAAAAATATGAGGCTCTGAAATTTTAGGGGCCTTGTGCGGATGGCCACTTTACACCGTGTAACACCCTAATCCGTTTAGGTCTGCAGCCCCTTTCAAACTTAAGTATTAACTCGGTAATCGTAATAATTTAAAACTTTTCAAACACTTTTATTTATCACAATAATATTTTTTCATAACATATACAGTAAGGAGTATTCAACAATATTCGGAAGCGAATTTAATATTGACATAATATAAATCATTTCAAACTTGTCACATCCACCCCGATAATCTCGCCCCACCTGCCGCCAGGATCACATTGTTCTTTCTGTTTACCTCGAAGCTTAATGAAGGTTTTGAAAATTTTCCGGCGAAACTTTTGGCAAGGTTTGTGGCTAGCTCCGGCGACCTCTCACCAAATTGAAAGCACCACTGCACTCCTCTCTCAACAAGGAACAGAATAGAATGAAATATTGTGAGAAATGGTGAAGAATGAATGAAGTTGTGGTAGCATTATATAGGAGGAAGATTTAGGAGGTGTTTGTTTTTTCTGC